TATGCCTAACATGGCTTCACTATGATGTTCACTGAATACTCAACGGTACACATAATCGATAGACCTGGATGGAGTGTCCAGCTAGCCCTAATACGCTTTCGGAGTTCAAWAAATTAAATGTACTGTGGTCTAGCATTGGTACAAACATTGTGTTTTACATTGTGGGTAGGGGGGTAAGGGGGTAAGGGAAGAGAGAGAGAGGGGGGGGGGGTGGAAGTGAGAAACTTTCTTAAAGGATGATATAAGACTTAGTGCCACTTTTCAGACAACAAACGATATACCAGTTTTGCATTCAATGCATACCGCTTTCTGTGCAGATCGCAGACTCATTTGCACAGGCTTAGCCTCATTAATATGTCAGCTATTCACAGATACCATTAAAAGTCCGTGGGATTTCAAAAAATTGGTATTGTTTAAGTTGCGCGTTCTTTACAGTACAGCTATATGATTATAATATATAATTATATAATTAGTATATATATATATATATGCTCTTATGCTCTTAAGAGTACATATGTATAAGAGTGACATCATATACCATAGGGGAATTATATAGGAAAACACAGGCTCATGCGAAAAAAAAAGTTTTTTACTCTTTTGTATTACGGAGGACATTATACCTTCACCTCGAATTAAAAAAATAAATATTTAGTTTTTCCGATTTTATCTTAACCATTCACTTTAATCTAAATTGGGCTCCCTGTGCTGAAACAATGAGAACTTTGAACAACRAATCCTGTCAACTCAAACCACCTGCGCGCGCAAGTAAATTAGGCAAATTAGTTTCTATGGTAACTTACGTCATTATTTAATTTCAACGTCACAGATCATTAGCAATTACTGAAATTAATTATTCCAAATCGAAGCACATAGCATTTCAAGACTTCTAGCAAATATTTAACAAGTTATATAAATCAAGACGTTAAAGAAAATTGAAAAGTTTCTATAAGTGGAGAATTTCTTATGGTAAGAAAAATCAACTTTTTATACTACGGCACTCTATAATTTATATTCCACAGAGAAAATAGAACCAGTAGCTTACACTAATCTTTCTTTCTTTTTTTACAGGCATTGCCTGATCGACTAAAGTCTACCAGGCAGAGGAGCCTTCAAAGAATAGAAGATGATTCGTCCTGGATTCTCATCATCCTGGGATTTGTACTTCAAATCATTTTATATGTACCCAGACGTATCTTGTCAGGTGTCGGTAAGT